ATTTGCATAATTTTGTTAATTGTAAGATATGTTATATTTTTACCTTGACCCCCCCCCCCCCGAAAAAAATCCTGTGTGCGCCAATGAAAAGAATACACTTATAATCCACTTTTAGCTCTAATAAATGGTCTCTTGAAATAGCCTGACCCATAGTTCTCTAACTGTAAATCCGCCCCTGGTTGGGTCCTTATTTTAAGAATAAAAATCAGGATCCTTGGCGATTGCCGGGTATCCGGGTGGGCCAGACCGACACTGATCGGATTAGATCGGTTTTAATTCAAAACCCTTTAGGTTCCCAAATCCTTTGATTAATTAACCTACAATCAAATTGACCATTTGACAATTATAGATATTAAAGGTTTGTCGATTGTTTATAAACTCCTCAGAACATATTAATTTCATAAATAAAAATTAAGCTTCCAAGAGAAAAGTTCTTTCCACCTCAGTGGAAATAATGTCAAAACTACTTCCACACAGCAAACTACTGTTATCGTTTCAATAACGCACACTGTATTAAATGTGGTGAGAGACACCTTTCTACCAATTGCAAGCCACTTAAAAACGAATATCTCCATATACAATTTCCTCTTAAAACCAATAATTTAAAATGTAGTGTGGAAAAATTGAGTTTGGGAAGTTCATTTATCTCTCAACAAGATAATGATCCAAAACACACGGAAAAACGTGTTAAAGAATGGTTGATATATAATGTTCCTAAACAACTTCATACACCACCACAATCACCTGATATGAACCCTATCGAACATCTATGGGATGAAATAGAAAGAAAAATTAGAACACATAATGTTCGAAATAAGCAGCAGTTGAAAAATGCAATTTTTACCGAATGGAATGCAAATGACCGGAAATCACTAAAAAATTAGTAAATAGTATGAAGAATCGTTTGATTGAGGTTATTAAAGCAAGAAGTGGGCCAACACGTTATTAATTAAAGAATAAAAACTAACCTAATTAATAAATTATATTATGAGTGTATGGAAACTTTTTGGAGTATTTTTTATTCAAATATTTCTAATTTGTAATTTATTAAAATCATATGTTAATTAAAAAATAGTTTATATTATTGAAATATAAAATATGCATGCTAAATTAATTTGTGGTATAATTACTAACCCCTAATATTTTGGACTTCAAAAAAAAAATTTTGCGTCTTACAAAGAATGTACATTTTATAAAATTATTATGTAAAACTGGGGTAAGCATAAATTCAAACACTAACAATAAAAACCAATAAATCTCAAAATTCGCTGTACTACACATTCCTCAAAACAACGCCTCCAATTTTAATTCAAAACCAAAAGTATCATATGCCAGAATCACAGCAAATACATATTCCGCCACCCAACCAATCAATATTATTTCTATTCCTTGACAATCTTAAATAAATAAGTACTAAATCCTCCACTACTTGCTCTAACATTTCTACATAATACATGTTCTCTTAATATTCCTGCTCCATAAAAACTACTCAGGCTATCATACTTAGTTGTACCTCGGTCATTAATTATCAAATGTGTTGTGTTATCTTATATTACATAATATCATTATTTATTGATCTTGCACAAGACATATCCACCGATAGCGCACTTAAATTATTCTAATTGTAAAGGTATCTTATTATAATGGCCTTAACATAATTTATTATTTATTGTTATATAATTTTAACGTTTCATTATTCGCACTATGTCTACATTTATAAGTTTACTTATTGAAATTGTTGATCTTTAAAAGTTTTTACTAATAGCTAATAAATTTAAAAAAAACCATTAATGGGTCCTAATTGTTAATTTATTATTAATTTGTTGATTACTTACAAATTTAATAATCAAAGATCAGAGGCAAAATGTGATTAGTGAAATTAGAATCGGATCGTTTATATAGACGTTCCGAAACGTCTGTAAAAGATTTCGCAGTTTATTAGGCGTATCGCTAAATCATTATGAATGGTAACCAAAAAATTTTTTTTTCATACAGACCTCCATTTAGCGGTCAAGATCCGATGGACATTTACAACGCGATACTGAAAGGCATCGGGGCCGTTAACTTCCCGCGACAGATGAATAAAATGACTCAAGGACTAGTGAAGCAGTTGTGCCGAAGCGACCCAACGGAGAGGATAGGCTATCAAAAAGGCGGCATCCAAGACATCAGACGACACGAGTATTTTATTATTTTTTAATTCTTCTACCCAGCCTTTTTCAATACTTGAACTCACGGTTGATATTAATGTTTGACCTTATCCCGGGTAGATGGTTCAAAGGCTTCGACTGGATGGGCCTGAGGAACAAGAGCATAATTCCGCCAATCATTCCACACGTGAGTACCAGCCTATTGCGATAGTCGCGTGCGCGTACAAATGCGCTGAAGGCGTATCAAGTTTTAATCGTATTTTTACAACAGATCAATAACCCGTTGGATTCCTCGAACTTCGATATTTATCCTGAAGACGGAGACGTACCACCCGACGAATCATCCGGTTGGGACTCAGAATTTTGAAACACCTTCGACGCTATTTATAGTATAGAAACGCGAAGAATCATTTCCAGGACTGCACACATAATATTATATTGACAGTACCCAAGCATTTTTCTTTATAAGAATACGACTATTCACGTTTTCCGAAAATACCTCGTAACGTCATCACGTACGGGAGCAGCCATTTTCAAAATTGCATGAAACCATCAAATGACTAAATTACAGAGGAACTATGTACAAGAAACAAATCTTTTCGGGCTGGGTTACTTACCTGAATAATGGTAAAACATTTCATATTTTTTTTAAAACAGAGCAAGTGAAATATTCAACAAAATTAAAAAATATCTTACTTGTATGTATTTATGCTGATTTTTCTTTTTTTTTTTTTAATCGCTTCACAGAGTCATATATAGTATGGCATATTTTTATTAAATGATTAATAAATAATTTACACGTCCACGCATATTTTAAATATTGTTTAAAATTCACTGTTAGTTTTGAATGGTTTGTTTATTTTTTTTATTTTTCAAAAGACAGTTGAACAATGTCTTCCAAATTATTAATTATCTATAAAATAAATATGTGTACTCATACTTGTGTAGTACATAACCAATTACAATTTTATTTTATTTATAAATATATATAATTTAGAATTTTATTTTGCAAGAATAAATAAATTAAAGAAGATTTAGTATTTAAAATGAATCAATGAATGATGAACAAGAACAAAAACAAAAATATTAAATAATATCTAAGTCATAAATAATAACAATGAATTTGATGTTGAAAATAAAGACGCAAATTAGTTGTACAATTTAAACAACTCTAATACAATATTCAAAATAAATATTTAAATACATATACTTTGCTAATACAAAAAAAACCATTACTCAATTAATTTAAAAATAAAATTGAAATTTAATACTAATATAATTAAGCAGTAAAGCTTGGTTAGAACACGGTTAAACAATTTTTCACAAAATAAAAACAATCAGCATTGATTTAATATAAACACTTGTGCATAAGCAAAAATTTTAATTTTAATAATAGCATTTATTTTTATTAAAGAACCCTAGGGTTGTCTTCAATTACCTAGTCTCTTGATAATCCACATGAAGCTACAATATTTTCATCAATTTCTACATCATTGTCACAATTAGAAGTAGTTTTATCTATATTTATTAGAAATAAATGTATAATACATAATTTTTCTCAAATTTCAACATTGAAGATTTTACTTACTTTTATCAATCTTTTCTGAATATTCTATTGGACTAGGTGGTGGTGTATTTATTTTTAACAATATTCCATTGGAATTTTTAATATCATACTCTTTAACTTCGGCAGCATACTTATCATCTGTGAAATATGAAATATAAAATATCAACAAAAATAATAATAGTTTGTTAAACATACCAAAAATTTTAGGTTTTATTTCCATTTTTTCATCAACTATAATTTGTTTATTCAAAGCATTTACTAACTCTTCATCTACATTACTACTAGGTTGATCAGTATTCATTAATTCTGATTTTTTGACTTTCTAGAAAAAATTAATTAATATTTATAAAACATGTAATAGTATATGTATATTATACAGATAGTGAAAAGTTGTATATGTAAATAATAATAACCTTATGGTAAGAAAGTGAAGACTTCCTACCAAGAGAACCATCCCTAGATGGACCCAATTCCTCTTTTAAAGAATCAAATCCAGACTGATCTAAATGTACTTTGGCTACTGCCTTTTCCATGTCATCAGTAACAATTTCAATATTATGTATACACTGATTAACTATGTCTTCACGATTAATTGTTTTCAATGCTTTTTCCAAAGAATTACCAGTAGCTTGCTGACCAAAAGTCTGTAACCACAACCTAAGCATAACCATAGCCTGTCGTTGAGAGTTACCCGGGTATTCTGACTGGATAATACTAATGTCCGATTGAAGAATTCCTAACTCAACCGCTAATAAAGGCCAATTATCACCTAGCATATTTGAAATATCTGATAAACGGATATCTGCTCTATGTATAGTGTCAATTTGTTCTGTAAAATAACAAAATTACCATTTTACACAAAAAATATAAAAATTTCAGTTTTTTTTAAAATATTGCCATACCAAAACCATTCTCATACAAATTGTAGCTTCGATCAAGGCTTAATAAATCTGACTCCGACTTTGAGGTTTCATTAATAATATCTTCAGGAATAGTTACATTTAACACGCATATAGGTGTTTGGGCTGGATCACCTCTGTTAACTTTAGGTTCACGCATGAACAGAATACGAGCAACATTAGTATCCTCCAAATCACGTATACGAACAGTGAATGGCAAACGGTTTTCACGAAAGGCAGTAAAATTCAATTCCAATTGTTCACCAGATTTAAATATAGGTAATAAATTTCCAGCAAATTCCACATATATATTTTTGTTTTGTAATACCTCGACATCCCTGCTTTTGGCTACTTCAATGAAATGCTCTTGGTTTTCTAATGTCTTTTCTTCTTTGTCATCCGTCATGCAAAATACTCTAAGACGTGCCTCCATAATGTCTGTTCTTTTAGCAAACACTACAAATCTATGAATAATAACCTGATGTATTATTAAAACATACAATTAAATTAAATTGTTGTGTTTATACTTTGCCATAAATGGAACATAATTGGCTTCAATAAAGAGTTGTGTAGCTATATTTTTAACTTGACTAACATTTCTGCAGTCTATCAACCAAAATCTTGCAGACAAAGTTGTAGTAAATGTTACACAGTCCTTAACAAAAGTCAAAGGTGTCCCTCCAGTAACATCGTCCCATTGGGCTTTAGACTGACCACCTGTACATACATGCATGTGTATAAATATCATATTTAATTTTAAGCCTAAGCAAATAAAATAACACAAAATATATTTTTACTAACCTGACATACTACAAAGTAATCTTAACGTAGGAGCATCTCCGGAATATTGATTAATCATTCCTTTGGTAGTAGCTTGTGGTAAAGGAATGGTCAAAGTAATAGCTTTATGAAATTTCCTTCTACGAGGTTCAATAGTAACGACAGGTGACACTGCAACACGGTTACCAAACAATTTTGCAACCAATTCAACAGGAATAGGTTGTGCCTAGAAAAAAAAATCATAAATAAAAATATTTAAAAAAAGTAATACTACAAAATGTTTATACCTGTAAGCCCACTTTAATGCGTTTAGTTAGGGCATTGGGTGGGAATAATGCTTGCACCTGTGGTACAACTGTAGAAGACATAACTCCACCTTCTGGACCAACAGGATGTATTTCTTGTCTTAATCTTGAAACTATAGCAAAATATTGTGGAAAATCTAATGTCAAAATTCTTTCAATACGACTCGTTCGGAGGTCTTCAATCTGTCTAAGTTCTTCTCCTTCAAAGCTATCATTAAGTACCTCTTGTACAGCTTCTTCATTAGCTTCCAATGTATGCTCTTTCCAGGTTGTTCCATTTTCTGACCTTAACACAACTAGTTCTCTTTCTCTCCCTCTTAATGAAGCAAAATGAGGTACTTCAATAATAACAGGTCTACATTAATATATTAATTATTAATAATATATTAAAAAATATTAAATAAAAATTACAAATTTATATAGTTTTAAAATTTAAAGCATACCCCAAAAATTTGGCTCCAGCTGGTCCAAGTTCAAGAATTCTACTAGCTAATGCTTCTCCTTCCATAAGAGGTGGTGGATTAACCATTTTATCTCTTCTTAAATATCGACACGTAACTCGCATAGGACTTGGTGCTTTTCGAGGTGGAATTATCACTCTTACACCAGATTGTCTGCATCCTCGCATAGCTCCACCACGGGCATCAACCAAAAAACTCACAAGAAAACTAGAAAAAAAAAAAATAAGCAATTAAATTATAACTAATAAAAATTAGTAAAGAAACAATAAAACAGTGCACTAAAATACTAAAAGATATAAGTGCTGATTAAAATCAGTACGATTAAGTGTACCTAAAGTGAATTCATGCCCAAAAGAATTAAATCATGCTAAAAAAAATGTTGGTAAGATTAAAAGGAATTATTTGTAAGTTGAATAAAATGAATTATATTGGATTAAACTATTCTCGTAAAACATACACTCTATCAATGGAGTATAAAAAAATTGTGTTTTATTAACTTACTTTTTCCAATGGCTTTTTTCTGTACAAATGCCAATGCCGTTTAAATTTAAATTTAAAAAACATAAAATTTCAAATTAGTGCAATTATTTACAATGTTATAAAAACAGATCAATTTCAAAACGAAATTTTGTTGTAGGTAGTTTATACATAAATCATTAATATATACAGCATAACTTATCCTTATATATTATTTAGAATGCAATACATATACCATTATTTATAAGAACTATATATGCATACAATGATATTAGTTATTACATATGACTAAATGTACATTAAATAATTTCAAATGGTTTTTTATAATAAATATGAAACAACTTATCATGGAAGTGTTGAAAAAAAATAACAATTAATTCTAATAGAAAGTTTAAAATATAATAATCTACTCGTGCTGTGTTAAGACTAGTATAATTGAGAAATAAATAACTGTATTCTACAAAATTTATCTAATAAAACAAAAACCTTGACCATAATGTGAAAAAACCAACAATAGTAAAGAATAATATTGCTAAATTATGTGAATATGAGATTGTTAATACAAAACAAATTGATAATTACCTATTATAGAGCATAAAATATAATATATTAAATTATTATAGCACGCACACCTATGGTATGGCATTCAGAGCACAGCAAAATATGTTAAAATAAAAATAAAATAGAGCATTAATGAAAAATAAATAAGGATAAAGAAAAAAAATAAGATACGAGTTAGTGATTGTTGAGTTTCATTCAAAAACATTCACTCAGTCTACCTTTCGCGCCACATTCCAGTAGTATTTCCACAAGGGCCGAGCATTGCCAATGATCTTTCTAGTCTATCCAACCTGTCGGTATAAAATGCAATCGGGACGCGTTTAATTGGTTTTCTCCAATGGACAAGATGCACATAAATTTAATGCATTCTTGTACAAAAATTAACACACAATAGTTATAATACATAATGAATTGCATAGATAGAAATATCAAGCTACTTATAACCATATTCCATGCTTAAAATTAAATACAGTATTTTAAAAATTTCATTTTACTTGATTATTGTTATAATTGTCTCAATATATTTTATTTTATAATCTTAAAAACAGTATTAATCTATTCAAAACATCTATTTCAGTTAATGAGTAGAACAATTCACTTATACTACAGTTAATGAATAAAAAAATACATTAACATTACTTTTAAACACCATATATTAAGTATTATGCTTAAAGTATGAAATTATTAATTTGATATTTAAAAACAAATAAACATTAATGTTTAATTTATAACTTAAAATTCAATAATAATAAAAAATAAAATTTGATTAATTGAGACTTAGTTAATAAGATTAATTGACTTTTAATCTTAAGCTAAATTTAAAAATAGAAATTATTTATTGTAAACATAAAATTGCAAACTATTTTCCTTTCGCTAAATAAATGATAACTCAAGAGCCAAAAATAGATAAGATACAAAATGTAGTTATAAAAGATAATAATTTAACTTAGCACTTGGCCTTCTAATTAAAGAGTTAATTTATTACTTATATTTATGAATAATTAATAAAATTAAAAAACCTATAATTAAATTTTTATAAAAAGATTAATATAGGATAGAAGTTTTAGATATATATTTTTATATTGTGAATTAAAAGTATAATTTTTTTTTTTTAATATCATAAAAATAACTTCTACGTGTTATATAATTAATTATGTTATAAATATATATGTTTCACAATTACTTAAAATTTATTTACTATATTAACGTGCTCAGTGCTCAAATAATGCCATATAACTAACCATAGGTGCAATAATCAGTGAAATAAGCTTTATATACTACATGAAATATCATTTTGATTTTAAAATTATTATATTAATGGTATAAAGCATTATTGTATTACACATTGAAAGATGATTAAACCCAAAATCTAACATTTTAACATGCTAATATTTATATTAAATAAGTAAATGTATCTAATATCAATATCAGTATATATATATATATATGTATGTAAGTATGTATGCATGTATGTATTTTTTTTATATATATTTAGGTATGAAGACATATAAGTATATTATCTTAAGCATTTTATTGAGTCTTATTTTAAGCTTATTAATATAATTTTAAAAACAAAAGACTTACCCAATATTGACAGGTGAACGACAGATATCAATGTTATCAGATAGTATACTACCCCCAGAAGGATTTGGCGAATACTGGGGCGAAATATAATGTGTATTACTAACATATTCGTTAACGACTGTTGATAAAATAATACATTATACACCATTATTAATAATTGAAGTTAAAAAGTATGATCAGATAAATAAAATGATATTTATGATATTAATTAGAATAAGTGGTTTTAATAACTAAAATATAGAAAAATTCAACATAAAAAATATATAAATATTTTCAGATATTAAGTACTTATCTTTTATCTTTTTCTAGTAGCAATAAAAAACATTTAAAATTTAAAATTAGTTTAAATTAAAGCAGTATAAAATTAAAGTAGTTTAAATTTAAGTAATTAATCATCATTTTAAGTTGAATGTTTATTATTTTTAATCAAAAAAATGTTTATAAACAAAAAATGTTGAGAAATATTTGAAAATTTAAATAGGTTATAATAAAAATTAAACTAAAATATTACTTTAAAGTACCCAGTTTTACTTATAATTCTATACTTATTGGGATTATTATGAAAAATAAAAACAATTTACAATTGAATATATATTTTCTTTTTAATTGGAAAATTCATTTTTGAAACCATATAATTTAAATACTAGAAATGTTTCAAGTTCAAAAAAAATTACGGAAAAATATTAATATTATATCATAAAATCATTATAAACTCAATAAAATAAAAATATACATACCACCTGAATCATTAGCCATATCTGTCTTTTCATCCCTAGTAACATCAATTTTTAAAGAATCATCTCCTAATGATTTCATATCATCAACAGTCATGTAACGATACTGGTGTGTATCATTCAACATTGGATCTTCATCTATGAAAAATCAAAATATCTCTATAAATTTGAATAGAGTAATACTAAAAATATATTAAAAAAATTCTTCAAACACAAAAACTTGATCTAAGTTGCTATAAATATTAAACATTTGCTGTTATTTATTCAAAATTAATAAAAGAACATATCACAAAAAAAAAAAAAATTCACGAAGAGTAAAAATGAAAAACAACAAAAAATACACTTTATTCATAATAAGGTTGATCAACTATTGTAAAATCAAAGTCACAAGGTTTATTTGTTCAGTGTATCTTATCTCAGAAATGTAACAACTTCAATTTAATAATTCTCAATACTTAATGTAAATATTCTCACTTAATATTTCACATGTATAAATGTTAATTAATATAATTATTTTTGTTGTATAACATATGTATATGTTCATTAAAATTGATCATAAAATGCGAGGTTAAACAAGTATTCCTGTTTATTGTATGCAAAATAGTAACAGCCAAAATATTATTTTAAAGAAAAGAATATGAACTTTTTTTAATAACAATTAAAGAATTAATAAGGGTATTTTATCAATTTCTAACTTTTGAATAAATAATAATAATAATAATAATAATTCTTAAAAAAAAATTGAATTTTAACAGTTATATACAATAAAAAATAAATTAATGAAGTTAGGAATATGTTAATAGTATTTAATTGAACAACCATAATATAATTAATGAAATATCTCCACATTTTACTTAATAAAATTGAATTTTCAATATGCAATAAATGGTCAATTTATTACTATATAAATATAAAATAAAAAAGTGGTAATAATTTATAAACTAAACTGGTTATAACCAAAAGATCAATGAATAAAATTATACAATCACCTGTATAAAAAAATCAAACATTCAAAATAAAGTATTAAAATAAAATAAATATTTGTTAACATAGAGCATTATTAGCATGCAAGTATGCAAGCATTTCACAATTAAATTGTTTTAGTCATAGGAAACATAAATTCCTCCACAAAACTACCTATCATTAATAATAATTTTAAACAACCGGAACAGAATGACATTAATTTTTTTTAATATATTAACATTTCCTGCATTTTATCAAATAAATCCAAATCCCAATTAACATTTATTATTAGAGTTTCTTATTTATTTGTCAAAATACCAAAGATATCTAATTTTTATCTATAATAATAAAATTAAATATTATTTAGAATATTTAAAACATCACATTAACAATGCAGAATAAAAAGCAATAGAGCTGTTAATCTTTAATTATTTCTTTTTAATCTTTATTGGTACGACAAAATATTGGATTTTATATGAAATATATCAGTGGTTCTCAAACTTTTTTTTTGTTTGTGAAGGCCTTATATTTCTAAAAAAAAAATGTCAGAACCGCAAAAATCAAGAATTTCTATTTGAGACAACAATAATAGGTGCACAAAAATGATTTAATAATATTTCATCAAGTTTGTCAATATTATCATTAATCAATTCAAACTATTCCTTTAACAGGGCGAAACTATAAATTTTTTGTTGAGAAAAACACACAACCCAAAATTTAATTTTTTCTTTTAAAAAACTCGGATTTTGTCATTTGCTATGAAAAATGCAGTCACTTTACCTTGTATGATAAATTTAAATCTGTGATAATATCAGCCGAGTAATGAAGTCGAAATAACATAAGTCTAATTTTAAACTAAACGGATTCCGGTGAAAAAACATACAATTAATTTTGCAATTCAAGTTATCGTATCAGTGTTTTTATTTAGTACTAAAGAATACAATATTTGAATTTAATAAATTCAGATATGCCCACAAAGCCCCTAAACTTCTCATGCGGAGCACAGTTTGAGAACCGCTGATATATATAAATATATATATAATAGAATAATATATGATAAAATAAAATAAAAACTTAATTTGTAACTATAAATTATATAAAAATAAATAAATACATTTATTATATTTTTAAGCATATTAAAAACAATTATGTATGAAATGAGTAATATGAATAAAAAAAAATTCATAACTGTAAACTTTTATTGTTTTCAAATTTATAAAACATAATTGAATAACTTCAATCATGACTCTTGAATTAAATAATATATGAAATTAAAAGCATTTATAAGCCATTATAAGCAAATACCTTAGCAATGCAATATTAAATGATAGCATAAAGAAAAAAACAAGAGCGTAGAGTTGTTTATTCCTATCTTTCATTTTGGTTCTTTTTTTTTTAATTGCAACTTACGTAGAACATTTCGACCTTGATAGTATGGAAGATAAATATGTTGCGCATGTGTCGGCTTGCCGTAATCGTTCATGATCACCGACAAGACATCATCACCACCTGTCTCAAATAAGTGTCCCAAAAAAATAATAATAATGATAATCAACACGATAAGCGAGCCACCCAACATAAGCTCCATTATAGTTTATATATAAAGCTATGCTTCATGATTTAATAAATTCTTAAAACTCCCCATCAATTAAAATGCAGTTAGTAACAACAAAATATAAACTATTTTGTTAGTTTAAAGCATATATCACTACTGTACATAAGAATTAAACATTACCTCCTTCATCTTCAGAGTCAGACATAAATGTTTCTTGCATTGATTCAGGAGCCATAACCTTATATTTTTCTTCAATGGTACTAGTAGTTGTAGTTATTATAGTTGTTTCAGTAACTACTTTTAACGTTTCTACAACACTTACATATCCCAATTTGTGAGCTATATTTAATGGAGTTTGCCCTTGCTATGTAACAAGAACCAAAGTTTTAGTTACCTTATATTAATACCAATTCATATTATCTTACCATATTTTGAATATTCGGAGAAGCTTTGCTTTGAAGCAATAATGTAATAACAACTGTATGGCCTTGTTGAGCAGCTTGATGAAGAGCTGTATAGCCAGATGATGTTTGAACATCAACATTGGCACCTTTTTCCAAAAGAAATCTTACCATATTTAGTTGACCATAATGACATGCTACATGTAAAGGTGTAAAACCAGTCTAAAATCAAAATCAAATCATTACAGCTTTTTACTAAGTTATTAATTTAATAATAACAATTTCATTCGTACCTTAGTTGTTGCATTTATATTAGCATTATTGTCAACTAATATAATTGCCACATTTACTTTATCCTCTTGAGCACAAAGATGTAATGGTGTCAATCCATTCTATGAGGACATACATAATAATGATTAATATACAAAAAAAGAAATTTAATAACTCATGATAAACTTATCAGCCATATGATACCTTTGACTGTAGATTGATGTCGGACTTGTGTTCCAGTAGTAGTTTTGACATTTGTTCATGACCTTCCTGTGCACTCAGGTGTAACGGACTAAACCCAGCTTTAGACTCAGCATTCGCATCTGACTGGCTCATCAACAGTGTAGAAGCAACATCCAACTGGAATACAAGTATTATACAGACATGCTCCACAACACAAAAAACTATACTGTTATAGTACAATATTTACCTGATTCTTTTTAGCAGCTATATGCAACGGTGTATGACCATTTTTAGCAGCTATGTGTGGTGATGCTCCATTATCAAGAAGTAAGAAAACCGTATCTTGGTGGTTATAGTGACTAGCCACATGTAACGGTGTAACACCATTCTAATTTACAAGCAAAATATAAATAATATATAAAAAAAAATACCTTATAATACTCTACATATCTGAATGACCAACATGAAATTGATACATACATATAATGCAGTTTAATTTTCTATTTTAAATTTATATTTATTATAAACAATAAGACAAGGCGAAATACTAATTTAATAATTTATCAAGTATTAATTTTAAAAATAATTAATCTTTAATTTTTTGTAAAAAAAATTATATTTAAGCCTTTAAAAAATTAATTTTATTGTATTATAACAAAATATTGAATTATCAAATTTGATAAAATTAAGTTTAGACCTTACATTTTTTTTTCTTATTTTAATACACCATAATGTTATGTTTTAAAATTAAAAATATAAAAAAAAAAAAAAAAAAAAATACCAAAATGTTATTAAAAAATTATGTAATTCAATTTTTTTAAATGTATAAATTAATTAATACAGAATCAACCAATAATTAGATAAAACTAATAAAAAAGAAAATTTTATAAAAATAAATTTGAAATTATATTGCTGATGATATTTTACTTCTATGTAATAATTAAAATTATAAACATTGAAAAAAAATTATTATTTAGATTCTTACAATTTAAAATATTATTCAAAGCTATTCTGGGGAAAATTGTATATTAATAGTTTCATGTTGAACATTGAATTTAATTGTTTTAAATTAAATTGCAAGTTATTCTATGTTATATTTACTTTGCCTTGAGAATTAACAGGTGCACCTTTTTCCAAAAGCATACTAGCTACGGCAATATTTCCGTACTTAGCTGCTAAATGAAGTGGGGTAAAACCTTTTTTAGTAGTTGATACTAAAGAACTTCCACTATCTAATAAAGCAGTTGCTACTTCATTGTGTCCTTCTTTGGCTGCTATATGTAAAGGTGTGTATAAATCTGTAGTTGTAGCATCCACTGAAGCACCATATTGAAGAAGTAATGTAGCAATCTGAGTATGCCCAAGTCGACATGCAACATGAAGTGGTGTTTGACCATGTCTAGCTTTAGAGTCCACTGTAGCTCCAGAACGCACCAAAACTCTCACAAGATCAGACTGATTAGCTCTAGCTGCCAAATGCAATGGACTTTCTCCACGAACTGTACTAGCATCTGGGTAAGCACCATGACTAACTAAAACAAGTGCTATGTTCATGCAACCCATAAAACTGGCAACATGTAATGGTGTTAGGCCGGACTGAAAATAAAAATAACTTAATAAATATTTTTAATATATACAAAGTTAAAATATTTTATTCCAACAAATGACTTTCAATTACTTCTGTTGTAGATTCAATAGATGCTCCATGTTTTAATAAAAGCTCAACAACTTTAATTCGATTCTTTTTACAAGCTATATGCAAAGGAGTAAAACCATTTAATGCTCTAGCATCTGGATCAGCATTATGATCTAATAATGTTTTTGCCACATTTACATGACCACAATGAGCAGCCACATGTAAACTGGTAAGATAGTCTACAGTTACATCATCCACAGGTGCTTTGTAGGTTAAAAGAACTTTAGCTGCATCAACATGATCTCCTTGAGCTGCCATGTGCAAGGGAGCTAAACCATTCTATATAGTTTTTACAAAATAGTTATTTGACCAAAAATTAATTTTTATGAATAAAAAAATATACCTTTGTTTTTAATGTTCTAGGAGCATTACTTTGTAACAAGCGATCAATAACATGATCATGTCCAGACCTTGCTGCACAATGTAAAGGTGTAAGTCCATCTCGAGTCTTAGCTTCAATATTGGCACCCAATTGAATTAATAAATCAACCATGTTTAATTTTCCCCACTTTGCAGCAACGTGTAATGGTGTTATATTGTGCTATTTGAAAACATATTTATTTAGATTTCTTAACAAAAAAATTATATAATACTTTTCTTACTTTAGCAGTAAAATTTACATCAGCCCCTCTTTGAACCAACATAGATGCAACATTGTTATTACCATAGTGTGCAGCAATGTGTAATGGTGTAAAGCCACTTTTAGATGTAACATCAGGATTATGATCATTCTATAAATTATTATTTTGATTATGATATGATTAAAATATATTTGAATTATATCCATAAAAAATTTTATTTCAGAATACTACCATTGTCTGTGGATATTATATTAAAACCAATGGTATAAATTTGTAGGAATACATTTCAGTTGTTAGATTGTCAATCTTATTAATGTTATATCATTAAAATTATTATAATCATAGGTTATATATAATTAAACTTTTATTTAAAATTAACTTTACACAAAAATTATTCAATACATTTAGAAACACATAGTTTATATTTAACATTATTTGACAAAAAAATAAAATAAAATTATGGTATAATAAATTCATCAAAACCTGGAGTAATAGATTGGTAGCCTTGGTATCATCTTTTTTAGCAGCTATATGAAGAGCTGGTAATCTTACTTTCCCTTTAGTATCATTTTCCAATAGTATAGCAACAACTTTATCATGACCTTGTTGCATAGCTACTGCTAAAGGTGAAAATCCATCCTAAAATGAATAACAAATTATGTGTAAAATTTATTTTTATTTAGACTTAGTAATTTAAGTCGCTTATCAAAAAATTATAAAACTATTTTATTTTCTGGTCATAAAATCAAAACTCCTACAGAAATATTACAATGTAGGATTTAGGTAGTTTTCCAGTTTTCTAAAAATTACATATCTCAAAGTCGAATTTTCAATTGGAATATATTATATTTAAGTAATTAATAATAAAAAAGCAATAAAATGTAGTAAACAATGTTTTTTTGTAATAAATGTTCCAAGTTGTTTCATTAGTAAAATTACACATTTTAGTAACCTTGGATAAAAATTAAACTATGCATAATATTGGTATTTTACATGCAATAAGCACAATTATAAAACAAAATTATTAGGATCTATTCACTAAAAATTTCAATTAAGGACATTTAGCTTATATTTTCTATTTAACTAATGTCATTTATTATTCAACACCAACAAGAGTAAATTGTTAAATAGATCCAATTGTTAAAAGAAACCTTGAACACAATCAACCTTTTTCTACCTACTATTTATTTATGAATGGCATTTAATTCTGTCTAAAGCAAATCAACAACCATTACATTAAAAACATATACATTTTAATAAACCTCACCTCAGTAACTAAAAGTTGATTTGCGCCATGCCTCAAAAGTATTTCAACAATGCTGCAATGATTTTCTTGAGCAGCCATATAAAGTGGAGTGAAGCCACTATGTGATTGTATATTTATAGAAGCATTGTTTTCCACTAATACTTTAACAATTTCTTCTTGTCCAGCTAAAAAAATTAAACTTAAAATGAACACTTATAATTTATGGATGTTAACACATTATAGAACATATTTATTTGCTAGTATGTACCTAATGAAGCAATATGAAGAGCAGAATTCCCTTTTTTGGTTACTGAATTTACAGAACATCCTCGTTTTAATAAACATTTTACAATATCCACATGTCCATCTTTTGCAGCTAAATGAAGTGCATTAAGTCCATTCTATATAAATTAAATATGAAACCTATAAATAATAAATATATATATATAAAAAAAAAAAAACAAAAATACTTACAGAATTTGCAGTATTTACATCAACACCGCTACTTTCAAGTAATAATAAAACTTTTTCTAGGTTTCCTGATCTAGCAGCTCTTAAATATGAAGTTGCAGGATCAACCTAAAACAGATGATTAATGCCTAGTTGTTTAAAATTACTTTTTACAGTTACTCATTTTGATAGTAAAAGATTAAAATAAAATAAAAATCATATTTTTTATAAATAAAAAGATATTGTAAATATAATATATTTGGTATTAAGTTATAAAAAATGAATGAATTAATATAAATGTATAGTAATCAAATTAAACAAGATTAAAAAAATAATTGATTTTAAGTTAAACATTATATTAAGAAAATATTTTAAAATATACTATTGATTTCAAAAAAAGATTTTGAGTGAAGGTCAGGTTGATAAGCCTCTATATCAAAATATATTTTATATTATGTGCTATATTAGTATAAGTACTTAATAATTTTGAAATTCGATTAGTGAAACATTTTACAAAAAAAGAAAAGCATAAAACTGTTGTTATATACATAGATCAAGGGTTCTCAACCTTTTGATGTAAATGCCCCTTTTCATACTATTTTATTATGTCCCCCCCCTCGCCAAAATAAAATTGAATTATATTTAATACATATACATATAAATTTATATATTTTAATATATACATCACCTTTTTAATGTTGGTTATTGGATTAATATGATAAAATGAAAGTCAAAATGATGTTGTTTTATAAATTTAATAAATACATTTGTTAGAAAAAAAATATTATTATCATCCTTTGAAATTATAGAAACAAATTATATTATATTCACTTTCATAAATATTAAATTTAAAATTTATAATAATTAAGTAGACACAAATTAATTAGAGGATTGGTAATGCTAAATTCCAATCAATAGTGACTTAAGAGTGTCTCGGTTAAAAATTAAAATAATCATAAATAATGTTTTCATATTTTATAGCTTTTTAAAAATGTTCACGCCTCCCAAATGAAAATTTCTGACGAATACAATGATAAGTAATAAGTTTATCTTTCATGTCTCTATAATTAATATTTTTAAATAGCAATATAACTAACATTGTTCAATCAAAAATCATGTAAAAATTTAGATAGTTCAATAATTTTTGTTAAAATTTCAAACTTGTGAAAATATAATTTTCCAACTCTTATAAAATTGTTTTGCCATTTTCTTTTTTGCAAACATCAAGGAAAAACTAATAACCATATATTCAATTTTCAATATATTATCATAAATATATTGTTAATATATTATATTATAATATCTAATATACAATATTCAATTTTGCAAAACAGAATTTTTTTAATAAATATTTTATGTGAGCCTGGATTATGATAATTTGGAGTTCGAGACCAAACAATTTTAGGGGCCTAAAACCATAATATTGATGACCCACTCATAAATATATTTCAGAAACAAAAAAAAATTATATTGTAATTTATAAATTAATTTCTTCCTTTTTGGGAAGCAAACCCTTTTAATTAACCCTTTAATTATATCATTGGTATTAATAACCTCCAAAACATCACTCTCTGAATACAAAACTATAAGACTATTTAAATTTTCTTGAGAACTGCTCGTTCTATACTTGTTTTTTATATGAGCTAAAAAAAATGAAAAGAAAAGAGTTGAAAAAACGAAAAAAAAACCTACTATCCGCCAGAGGCCCACTATTGTTTGATATACGTTGTGGGCTCTGGGCCCTCTCTTCCCCCTCCCTTAATCCAGGCTTGATTTTATGACAAAGAGCTAAAAAACATAAAAATATAATTTATCAATAAATATCACCAAAAAAATCACAATATTTTTAAAATTATACAAAACTATAATAATTGTATTGAGTGGTGTATTATTGGAGGGTATATGGCGTATACTCAATACGTTATAATAATAATTAATTAATAATTATCTATCTGTGCATCATCTTGAATCATATAAATAAAATAGTCGTTATAAACTTATTTATATTTCTATATAATAATACTTATTTAATATTTTTTTAAATGTATTTATTAAATAATTTCATTCTATTTTTCTTAAATTCAATTTTTGATATTTTCAGTTAAACAATATATTATTTTGTTACGCGGTATCTACGTAAGTAACTCTTGGTTATACTATTTATTTATAACTTCTAAGTATAATTACTTAATTTGTTTATGTTTATGTACTTATAGGCCACGGTTTTCTTTACAAGACTACACTACACCTCCATTCGTATAATTCATGATAAATATATACATCATAATAGGTATATGTATGTATTTTTTATCACTTTCGGAATAAATTCAAATACATCGGGTATAATAACAATGAATATCTTAATTTCTTACGTAAATAAATGTTTTATTTTAAAACGTAATGTGTTTTGTTTTTAAATTATAATAGGTGTGATGAAATGGTAAATTAGTATTATTAAAATAAAAAAATGTTTGGTAGTATGCATTTTTTTTTTTTAACAAAGTTTTAAATTTTATATTAATAAGTTAAATATTTATTAGTTTTTTAATCAATAATATTAATATTTCAATTATTTTAATCGAGTAAATATCTCGATTATTGAAATCATTCGATTATTCCCATCACTAGTTAAAACTATAAATAACCGAGAGCCACATTTCTTATAGGAAATATCAGGAAGGTTGATGGTTAAAATTATTGAAAATAGATTGTTATTGCTTTGAAATTTTATTTTCATGATAATATTTTATATAAATTGGTAACCACGATTTTTTTTTGAGTACTCGAAATTTTTCGAGTACTTGAATTTTGACCTCGACTCAACTAGAAATAATTGAAACTCGACTCGACATAGAAAAAAATAATATTCGTCCAACTCTAATATTTATAACTATATAAATTATAATAATATTATATAGATAATCAGATTTTTCTAAATTATTTAAAAAACTATGGAGATATTAAAAAAATTACACCACGAATGCACCAAATCAACAAGATTTGTTAATAGATATTCTAAAAGTTGATAATCGGAGTAATCCTTCTAATCGAAATCATAAACAAAAAAACACACATCATGGTAATACTTACATTTCAAGCTCCGCTCAGATTATTAAACTAAAGAAAATAATCCTTAACACATCTCCGAGAAATATTTTAGTAATTAGAAAGTATAATAATCATATATGACTATATCACTTTATTTATAAATAATAAAATAATACTCGACTTTAATATTAACAATAATGAAGAAAATACCTAAATGATGAAACAGTTATTATAAACTTCTCTTGCAAGAAATAGTGAAAAGTTAATGTATATTTTAAGAGTTTGGGACAACTTAATTGTACAGTGAAAATAATTATAAAACAATATTTTCTCTAATATTTCTTATTTTTATATACATAAATTACATTAACACAAATGTGTTAATATCGATAGAAAATAAATTCGTTAGCTAGAGTTTAAAAAATGTTAAAAGAACACATTTTTATTTTCCTGCAATATATTTCATTGTGTATAGGCTTATTTTCATACTCTAATTTAGTGATATCCTTCATAATAAAAGCATAATCGAAAAAAAAACATTTGTAATATCTGGGGAGTCTGCTTGAACGTATATATCCAGGAATATTTAAAATTAGATTTCAAACTCGCTTGTTTATATTAGATCACATCTTACATTAAAACTCACCGGCAATTCATTTTACTAAAGCAACTTCTTAACATTGTTAATTTAGCTTATAATTCATAGCAAAAATATATTATTTATTAAATAATAATAAAAATTGTAAAAATCTACTAAATTAGCTATTTAAAGCCAAAATATTATTTTAATATTCCAATATTATAATTATATGTAATAATATATGGTCTACAAGCAAATAATGTATTGGTATACAAGATTTAAGTAAATACATTTTTTAATATTTCTTTGAAATTAAATTTAAAAAAAACACTGTTTAACTATATGAAATAACTTATAAAAAAAAAAGTCGATTATAATATCCACTAAACACGATAGGAGAATATTAGTTGGTTATCAGGATATTACACGAGTGGAAAACTATTGAGCTGGTCGTGGTCGCTCCAGTGACCTAAATAAAAAGGACTTTGGACTTTAATTTTACGTTACTAAAGTACATAAAAAAAAAAAAAATTAACAGAAAAAATTAAAATAATGTATAAATGTAAATTAATTTACAATTTTCAATAATTAATATTTTTGACGAATAAACATCGAATTAATTCTTTTTAGTACTTAAAACAAATTAACATTTTATAGCTTAGTACGCATAATGTAGGTGTCTCATTTTCTTTGATCATAACATTTAGCAATAACAATTATTATGTTTCAATTTTTTTTATCAAATAATGGATATAGACAGATGATCATTACTTATTCAACTAAATGGAGAAGACACGTCAAGTTAATTTTGTTTTAAACATTAATGTGATCATATAAAAAAACTATAAAAACAAAGCGATTTTCAAAAATTGTAGTCTATAGAGACTATTATATTATAGAGTTATAGAACTGTATAAAATGTCGAATGGTCTTAACATAGTTATATGTATCTAAAAACATAAGTTAAACTTTATGCTAAATATTAAAGAAATATGTAAACGCTAAATATAATCCCATTATTAATAGTTGTCTATTTTATTAATTTGTTTTTATATAATACATTCGTTTGCCTACTATAATAACTATATTACTATATAACTAATTAGTTAAAAGATTTATTATCATACATAAAAGTATTACAACACAAAATTATATTATATTATGCAATGTTAAATAAGATATGTCTAGTTATCTCCTAGTACTCACTTCGCCCAGAAACTAAGTAATGAGCACATTAGTCTCGGATCACAATTTATATCAATGATAACATGCTTTCATTCGAAACAGCATAAGCATAGGCATTCATATTAATATTTATGTGTAAAAAACACGTATTGATGGGTGCAGTTTCAAGTTTTGAAATACATGGATGCATTTAATATTTATCTTACATAAATTGTAAACAAAAATGTAGATAAATTACTCTTTATATTTATCAATGGTAATAAGTATATAGTTTATAATTACCATTGATAAATTTGTAACGTAATTTATCTTACAA